GGACTGCTGAAGCTTATAGGGAATCCAAATGTTTTGGATTGTTGGGTGTTTCTGTCACTGCCTTTGTGAAGCGCTATGAGATGACTTGTTGTTGTAAATAAATAAAATTGAATTGAATTGAATTGAATTGAATTTAGCTTCTAGTTGCTACAATGCACATGTGCCTGTTCACAGCACTGTTAAGATGCTGCTCCTGCCCCTGCCTCTGTCTAGTTGGCAGCCCTGGTCTCTCTTCCTCTCATTCTTCCTCTCTATTCCTCTCCTCTCCCTCTTTCTTTCTCTGTGTCTCTCTGGTTGTGGTTGTGGCAGAGTGCTGTTTGCAGGAGTGGAGAAATCTGTGTGGGAAGTTGAGTCACCTGCTCTCAATCATCCACCGACTGCTATTTTAGCCTGGTTCAGACTTCCACTCTTTGCCAGAATGTAGACTCTGCTACATAGTCCATGACCAGCCTCGTCTCTTTCCTGCTACAGGGAAACTTACAGACCCATTCCAGGAACAAGCTGGACATTGGATTTCTCTGCCTGCCTCTGACAGCTCCAGTCTTTGGCTCTAATCGTGGCCCAACCACAGCCAACTCCATACTGCTCAGCTCTGCTAACCTGCTCTGCCCAGCCTGGTTCCTGATTCCAACCTCCGACTGTTAGCTGGACATTGGTTGGCCAGACCAGCCCCTGAACCCTGGCAGCTAAGTGTAACAGTCTCGCCAGTCAGCTGTTCTTTTACACTTCTGTACCAACTTGTTAGCCCCTACTCTGCCCTGCCTCCACTCTGTGTTTCTTGGTTTTGGTCTCTGATTCTGTCTCTGTAGGCTACAGTTCTACTTCTGGGGCCTTTTGATTGTAGTTCTAAAGGAATGGCAGTCTCTGTAGTAATCCCTCACCAAGCAACCCTTAAGGTTGTTTCATTTGTTTCTTTAGTTTTATTAGTATTCTGTTCTCATAATTCTGTAAATAAACTTGGTTAAGGTCACTAGTTTGGTCTGTGTCTTGTCTGCATGCTGGGTTCCCTGACTAGCTGTGATGAGCACGGCAATTGTGCACAGGTTTTATTGGAAACTACACAATTGTTGCTCTCCACCCATCCTACTCTGTAGATTGGCCTCCCTACCACTTTTCCAAAATGAAACTCAAGTCAAAGGGTCATCAATTTCAGAGTTTCATTGCAGATGATGCTTGACATTTTTATGTAATGTTATTTCCAGGGAGAGTTACAAACATGGCAGGAGCATTGCTGCCTAAGGAAACCATTTCAAATGGGATGATGAAGAAATTTAAATCGGGTATGGTTCTTGATTTTAAAAGGCACTGTTTCTTTTTGATGACTCATATCTATATTATTTTTTAATAATTCTGATTTAGAATGAATACCACCATTTTTTAATCTACTGATCATGTGGGATCAGTCATTTCCTCACTTAAAACTACCAATACACTACTAAACCGCCTGAGGTCACTAACTACGATTTTTAATTTAAGTTTTTGTTTTGTTTTGTTTTAAGTTTAATTTATTATTATTATTATTATTATTATTATTATTATTATTATTTATAGAAGGCTTGAGCAGGTTGAGCTTCTGGTAATCAAGCAGAAGAAAAAAATGATCATTTCTGTGTATCAGCTATGTGACTGTATTTCTCCATGTTGCAGGCACCGCAACAGAACATGTTTTAGGCAAGCTTTGACAGCTTTGTTCAAATTGAATACAAAGATACATTTTACTCAGTCAAAAAAACAAAAAAAAAAGTAGGAAAGTCCTGTTAATCAGAGATAATAAACTTCACTTTTAGGCTCATTAGCGATATCAGACAGCCTTCAACCTATTATTAACATGATTCTTATCAGTTGCATTCACATACTGGTTCCTGTAACTAGATATTTGCAAAGTTTCTTGAAGAAAGTTTTTCTGCCCAATTACCCTCCTTTAAAAAAAATGAATTGGTTAGATAAAACTGATTTG